GCCTTTTTACTTGTCAACCTTGGGCTTGGCAGCTTCAGCAGCCAGCAGCTGTCTGAGTGAAGAAAAGCCTCTAGCTTCAGTGGGCCAGGAGCTGGAGGCAGAGCTGAAGCCCAAGGTCGAGGGGCTTTCACTCAGCCTCTAGAGCCTGGCACTTTGAACTTGGGTTAAAGCCTCCAAACTGTAAAAGAATAAACTCCTATTTATTAAGGCCACCCCATTTGTGGTATATTCCTGTCAGAGCAGCACTAGGGAACCAGAACAATGCCCCTGAAGCAGTAGGTCTTTCTTTCTTTCTTTTTTAAGCAGAAGGATGTGTATTTTCTTCATTTTAATTTTACTGAAATGAAATTATTTCATTGACTGCAAATGTGGCTTAGAAAATATCACATGCACAACTGTCTTCTTTGATTGCCTGCCACAAATTAAAAAGGGCTTTGCGACAGTCAGCCAAGCATAAGAAAAATCACACTTCACACAAGCCCATGAGAGCACTGCTCTCGTTCACCCACTCCTCTCAATGCTAAGAGACATGGTTGTCGTCATGAAAAGCCCTTCCCCCACCTTGCACAATTCAATGTTTGCTTAAGAAATGAATGGATAAATCTATTCGTTCTTCCCGATGTAACCTGCTTCCCTTTGAATAACGCCTACTGTGTTATTCATTCGTCAAATGTTTATTGACTGCCTACTCTGTGCCAGCCACCGAGCCAGGTGTCAGGGAGGGAGCAATGAGCAAAGCCACAACAGCCCCACCCTCACAGACCTCCCATCCTGGGCTTAACGGCTCCACGGTTCTCCAGGCATTCAACCTCATGTCACAAAGCCATTTCCATTTTTTTTGGTCCACATTTGCATGGCTCCCAAAACTCCCACTGATGGAGAGTTGATTCCAACTCATAATCATCCCACAGGACAGAGCAGGGGTTTGCAAGGCTGTAATCTCTACAGAAGCAAAGTGCCACATCTTTCTCCTGTGGAGTGGCTGGTAGATTTGATGCCCTTCCATTTACCAGCTGACTGCTTTAACCACTGCACCACCAGAGTTCCTCTTCACTTAGGAGGTCCTAGATGATCTGTACTTGTATAAGGTAGCTTACGTACATCTGCCCTCTGTGACCAATTCCGCTCCTACTACCCCAACCCAGGACTTGTCTGGCCTACTATGAACCTCCCCCTTAGCATCTCTTCCTGCCCACCATATGTACAACACACACACTGTTGTCAAGTACAACGTCCTTGAGTACAAATCTTCTCCTCAGACTTGTGATCAACAACTCCCAGCTGAAATACAACATGAGCTAATAAAGCTTTCCAGAAACCACTAGCAACACGTTGGCCTTTGAAAGTTCCATCTGGAGCAGGAAGATGACGAAGGAAGTGAGGAGATCATGCTCAGGGCCCATGGAGAGATCCTGGTGGTCCTTCCTACCACCAACAGGACTGGGCTGGGGTCAGGTTGTGACGGTCTCTTGGTGTCAGCCCTAACAGGGTCACAGTTTTGTGCCTCACTAACCTGGTCCTTGTGAGATCAGAAATCCTAGCAAGGGGAGGAACACACTTGGCTTGTTCACCATTATACCCCCAGCACATTGTTGTTGTTGTTGTTATGTACCATCAAGTCGGACCCGACTCATAATGACCCCTCCTTGGGTTTCCAAGGCAGTATCTCTACGGAAGTAAGATTGCCCCATCTTCCTTCCGAGGAGTGGCTGGTGGGTTTGAATCGCCAGCCATCTGGTTAGCAGTCAAGTGCCTTAAGCACTACGCTACCCCAGCACATTACACAATGCTTAATATAATAAATATTTATGGACTCAATAGAACTCTCTTTCTTTAATCCAGAGTTCTATGATCTCCTACAGGTCAAAGTAGCCTCCTTCTACCTTAACTGGTGGGAACGCTACATATGTTAACGTAAACGCCACCTCAGGTCAAGAAATCTATGGTCAATACCTCTCCCTTCCCCAGTGGTATCTGTTACAAGGACAAACTGACCTCTTAGAAGAGAATGAAGATTTTGAAAATTGGTCTTTAATCACTGACTAAGTTCTAGTCCCAGTCAACAGCCCACCCTCCCCCCCAAAAAAAACAGGTAACACTTAAATCATCAGCTCAGATTTACCCAGAACGAAAAGTTCAAAGGACTCGCAACACAAGAAAGTGCTGATTTTCTTGGAAAATGATAATGAGAAATCCAGGAAACAGTCTGGTCCTGCCTATATCATATCACTCCCTAAACAATCTGGCTTCAGTCCCCAAAGAAGGGATTAACAGAGTTTGATGGGCTTCTGAAGTTCTTCCGACTCTGAGATGTTATAAATGTCATAAATAATACCAGAGTGACAAATGAAGATGGTTGGGGGTAGAATTTCTTTACCTCTTTATCCTTAGGCATTAAGCCTCTCAATGTAGAAGGCTCTGCTTCCAAGGAAATGCCTGGCACGGTTTTTACTCCTCTTTCCTTGGATGTGTCCTTCTCAACTTCAAAACCCAATTTAAAGCTTACCCATAGGAAGGTGACTATGATGAATGCTTTATCTTTTCTCTAACGCTCAGTACAGTATCAACTTGCACTTCATGATATGTAATTCAATAAACATCTATTAAATACAAAATATATTTAACTTCCTCCTAGAGGTACTGTAGGAGCTCTGGTAGCATAGTGCCTAAGGCACTTGACTGCTAACCAGAAGGCTGGCGGTTCAAACCCACCAGTCACTCCTTCAAAGGCAGGTTAGGCAATCTACTTCCGTAGAGATACTGCCTCGGAAACCCAAGGAGGGGTCGCTATGAGTCAGGTCTGACTCGACGGCACATAACAACAATAACAGAGGTACTGTGGTGCTTCCAGACTAAGACAGGCTTGCAAGAAAGGCCTGGCCATACATCCACTTCTGAAAATCACCCAGTGTCAACCATATGGATCACAATGGTCTCATCCACAACCGATCATGGGGTTGGCACAGGACTGGGCAGTGTTTGGTTCCCTAGAGCACAGGGTAACCATGAGTCAGGGGCCAACTCAACAGAAGCTGACAACAACAACAACAACAACAAAGGAACGGAACATTAAACATGTGAAGAACATGGTCCCTTATCCCCAAGGAGTTTAGAGATTTATAGGAGAGACGGGCACAAAAGAATTATACAAGGTATAATTCCATTTTGGTAACAGGTATCAACTAAGAGCTCTGGACCAAAGAGGAGAGAGCCATTAATGGCATTTAAAAGAATCTTAAATCTTCTCATGTGTAAAGGGTTTACTTATTTCAGGACTGGACTTGTTTCTTACTCATTTCAGGCAGTCTGATATAGAACTGTAACCACAAAAAGTACTCAAATATTGTTTGTTGCTACCTTTTATTCAAACTTTCTAAATGTTGCAAATCCATGTCTCATCTTAGCCTCATGTAAGCAGTAACCCAAGAACCACTGTAATGGTGCCTTTTGGCTTCTGTGTGGGAGGAAAACAAGAAAGAAAATTTTAATGAACAGAAGCACATCCAGAGTAGCATCACAACTCACGAACCCTACAGGAGGAAGAGGGCACACTGACACTAGATGCATTATTATATCGCCCTATGGTGGTGACTGGCTTGGATCTATACTCTGCTTCTTAAGGAAAACACGAACAATGCTAATCATCACATCATTCAGAGCAAACGAGGCAAAAAGCAAAGGGAGAACACAGTATGTCTGAGTGTCTGGATTGGCAGATAAAGAAATGCAGGCTCATGGATCAGATACTAAAAACCAAATGCACTGCCGTTGAGTTTATCCGACTCACAGTGACCGACCCCTCCTTGGGTTTCCAAGGCAGTATCTCTACAGTAGATTGTCTTCCTTCCGAGGAGTGGCTGGTGGGTTTGAACCACCAGCCTTCTGGTTAGCAGTCAAATGCCTTAGGCACTATGCCACCAGAGCTCCCTATGGATCAGATAAGCACATTCAAAAAGAACTGCCAGCATGACTTGGAATGCTCGGAGAAGTGCAAAGTGACACCCGCTACAGACAGAAAATGGAGGGGTCAGGACACCTGGGGTGGGCCGGTCATCTCCAGAGAACCTAGGCACTGTTTTCCAGTGAAAGAAGTGAAAATGAGTCCTCCTCAACAAACCAGGAAACAAAGCCATCCTCTTGATGGTGAAGAGAAAACTATTCATGTGAGGGCTGTGCTTCCAGAAGTGTAGAAGAGCAGCAAATTCAATCTGTCTCCTGAGGACCTAGAACACCCAGGAGAGGAGGGGAATTCAGAACAAAAAGAAAGTCACCTCATCCTCATGGGGCTCCCAAGCTCACAGCCTAGCAGGAGAGGCAGACACAGTGAATCAATACCTCTCAGAAACACCAGCAAGAGAGCTGGGCCGGATTCAAAATCAAGTGGGACCAAGACAGGCTGGCAGCCT